TTTACTTCAAATAGCAAAGATATTTTTTATTAATGGATGGATTAATGGATTAGATTCTTAAATAAGCATTTTATTTAATTTTATTTTAGTTAATAAATTTCATTTATTCTACTCCAATTTTTTCACTTCACATGTCTAAACCAAAATGATTTTTTAGAGAAGTATATAAAAAGACAACGGGTTTTATCGATAATTTATCGATACTTGTAAATTATCGCATTTTAAAGTAACCAAAAATAACACTTCAATTGTGCTAATACTCTAGAAGTTATACTTAATACTATAGAATACTCTAGAAGATCCAGTTCCATATTCTCAGTAAATGCTCATTCAGCCAAACTATACTTGCCAAAAACAAGTATTTTCTTCTCTTCCTAGTTTCTTATTATCCTAAATGAGTATAGGGCCGCAAGGAAAGCATAGTGCTATTTAAATATACTACATCAATAACTAAATGGGGTCTAGATCCAAAAAGCAATATAACATGATATATTCCTAAAACAATTATTGGCATATTAAAATAAGATTGTGACAACAATATAATTTCTAGAGATTGACTTGCTACCAAGATCCTATGGTATCACACAAAGTTTTAACTTTCTGCAGAGATACTTATATATGAGACCACTTCGACATCATATTAAGTCTTTCAAACGAAAATTTAACATATAATTGGTGAGATTAAATGTCCAATTATTAAAAAAGTAATGAAAAAATGAACTTTCATAGAGTACAACGTTCTTTATACAATCTTGTAATAGGCATATGACCTAAATCCTTCCTTATTAATAATCTCAATGGCGTTCGATATCAAACTGTGTTGAATTATGTCGTGTTTTCAAAAGTGTGTGAGAGTGGAAGGTGTTGTGAGGTTGAAAGGATTACGCCACATAGCATATTTCTAGAGCAATTATTGTCATATTGAAGAAAAAGTTTGATGGAAACATAATCTATATTATCAGATCTTGTGCTCTAGCACCACTGAACTGTTTTGTTTTGGGGACTACTTAGTCTCATTTTTTTAAAGAAAATAGATGTAAAATTGATGAAAATTGATAGCACTGTTCTTCAAGTACTCCCATTGGAGAGATAAGCCCAAAATCTTTTTTATAGTGAATTTCACTGAATTATCTGTCGAATGACAAAAAAAATTGACTTATTGACTTATTATTTGTTTTTATTTTATTTTATATTACTTCGAAAAAAATTCCTTGTGTTTAAAATTATAGAAAATTAAAATTTATTATCAACACAGATGAGCTTTTTAAAAATTAATTAAATTAACTGCCCAATTATTAATTTTTATTGCATACTTAAGGTCTTAAACGTCAGGAATGTATTCTTAACTTTTTTATGAATATATATTATATTTAAAAAACTGTATATTTTATTTGTTATGTAATATCATTAACTTTTTTCTTATTGCTTTAAAGAATATAAA